GAAATGGACACAAATCTAAAAAGCTCTTTGCCCTGTGGGAGGAGGCTCTCCTCCATTCTGTGGGGGTATCCAGCCACTGGATTTGGAGGCTCCATCACGGACAGACTTGATTTTGGCTAATCAACCCTTGGCGGTGGAAAGCGCTGTCAACTCACAGCATATTTATGGCGATCCCGTAGGGCTTTCAAGGCAAGAGACGTTCAGAGGTGGTTTTTGCCATTTCCAGACTCTTGAGAGTCCCTTGGACTGCAAGGAGATCAAATCAGTCAATCCTAAAAGAAATCAACCCTGACTGTTCCCTGGAAGGCCAGATAATGAAACTGAAGCTCAAATACTTTGACCACCCAATGAGAAGGGAGCACTCACTGGAGAAGAAGACCCTGATGCTGGGAAAGATTGAAGGCCAAAGAAGACGGGGATGGCAAAGGATGAGATGCAGGGGTCGTTTCGTAGAAAAAGAGCTAGGGGAACTCATTAGCATAACTCATTAGCATATGCCACACCCCCTGACATCACCGGAAGTGTGTCATAAGGCCACACACCCTGCCCCCAACGGTCTCGGCCGCCACCGCCGGCCTTGCAGTTCCACTGCCAAGCCCCATGAGGTGGCCGAGCCCCATGAGGTGGCGCAGAGGTGGTCGTCTTGCCAGACGTAGGACAGCAACGCGGCTGCATCCAAGCAAGGCAGACCTGGGATTACATTTTGAATGAATGGAAAATCTGGCAAAGGCTCTTGCGCGGCCCCATTCACTTCTGTGGGCCGTGCCCTTATTCGTGCTCACCACGCACAATGAGGCATGTGTTACTTTTAAAAACTGCAGCAGCTACAGGGAGAGCCTGTCTTCAAAAAGAGGAGATGGTGCTGAAGGCTTTCTGCAAAAGAAACAGGACGACTGAGCAGTTCACTCTTTTTTGTGGCTGAAGTGTGGGAAGAAGAGGACTCTATCTGCTCAGGAGCATGGGGAAGGGCTGTGGCTCAGTGGAAGAGCGACTGCTTGGCACGCAGAAGGTCCCAGGTTCAATCCCCGGCATCTCCAGTTGAAAGGACCAGGCAGGAGGTGATGGGAAAGACCTCAGCCTGAGACCCTGCAGAACTGTAACGAGGGGCTGTGGCTCAGTGGAAGAGCCTCACCTTGGCATGCAGAAGGTCCAGGTTCAATCACCGGCATCTCCAGTTAAAAAGGACCAGGCAGGAGGTGATGGGAAAGACCTCCACTTGAGACCCTGGAGAGCTGTAAAGAGGGGCTGTGGCTCAGTGGTAGAGCCTCACCTTGGCATGCAGAAGGTCCCAGGTTCAATCCCCGGCATCTCCAGTTGAAAGGATCAGGCAGTAGGTGATGGGAAAGACCTCCACTTGAGACCCTGGTGAGCTGTAAAGAGGGGCTGTGGTTCAGTGGAAGAGCCTCAGCTTGGCATGCAGAAGGTCCCTGGTTCAATCCCTGGCATTTCCAGTTGAAAGGACCAGGCAATAGGTAATGTGAAAGATCTCCATCTTAGATCCTGGAGAGCTGCTGCCAGTCTGAGTAGACAATACTAACTCCCTTGGACTAAGGAGCTGATTCAATATAAGGCAGCTTCATGTGTTCATGTTCATTGATTCAAACTTCCTATGTTCCAGACATGAACCTTGGCACTGGAAGCAATGCCCCTGGCTAACCCCTTGGGGGGGGGGGAAATCAAGTCCTGCCTTTATAATCTACTTAACCCTGACCTGACCTTTATTCCTTGGTGGTGTGCAGGGGCAGATTAACCATGAAGCAGACTAAGCACGTGCTTAGGGCACCAGGGCCAAAGGGGGCACCACAAAGTTGGGGAAAGGGTGAAAAGAACTTTATGTCGCCCAAGCTTGGCTTAGTTTGTACAGTATATTGTGTTATCCTATGAATAAGTTTTTGTATTGCTGCAACCTGCGTTGTATATCTGGCCAGACAGGTCAACAACTAAAATGGACTGGGGGTCAGTGTGGAAAGGAGGGGGGCACCAAGATGGGTCAGTGCTGAGGGCACCAGTGAGCCTTCATCTGCCCCTGGGGGTGCGGGTTTGTTTCTTCCCATGGAAAGGAAGCCACAGCAGGCTTTGGACCTGGCGCAGAAGTTTCCATATCATTAGCTTATTTTTAAAGAGCTGTCTAGTCCCGTGCCTCCCTCCGAGCCTTGGTATACTGTCCCCCTGGCAGGCGTTTGGTTAGAGAAGCACTTGAGATCTGTGCTGCTCAAGATCTGGAGATGTGCAGTTTCTACCTTTGGGAATAGGTTCAGAGTTTTCATTCCCTGTGCATCAAATCGTAAACTCTGACCAGTCCAGATTAAGGGGATTAGACAGATTCATGAAGGAGAAGTCTATCAATGGCTACTGGCCATAGTAGCTGAGGGGAACCTCAATGTTCGAGGCACTAAGCCCCTGAATCCCAGAGCCAGGGGGCAACATTAGGTGAAGGCCTCGGCCTCTCTGCCCTGTTGCTGGCTTTCCAGAGGAACTGGTTGGCCACTGCGTGAGACAGGAGGCTGGACCAGATGGACCTTTGGTCTGATCCAGCAGGGCTGGCCTTATATTCTCATGTTCCAGGAACTTGCTTGTCACTCCGGAGAATCCTGGCACCAGACTCACCTCAAATCCCAAACTGACCATAAGCAGATTTGGGTGAGAGGCTTAATCTGTCACTGGGCTCAAGGCATAAGGAAATTTCACATCATCCCTAATCATTTATTTAATTTATTCATTTAAAACATTCTTATGCTGCCTTTCCATTTGATCAGGGTCCCCAAAGCAGCACACACAAAAGCATTAAAACATTTGAACAATTGAAAACCACATTGAAAAGGCTTCCGGTCTATGGATTGGTGATGGCGGTCGCTCTCCCCAGAGCTTGGAGAGGCGATTAGCACACCATCGGCATGGAGGGGTGCCACCTCAAGTGGCACTCCCACGGAGCCTTTGTGAAAGGCTCCAGGCCAGAGAGCTTTGAGGGATAGCCTCTTCGATGGCTTGCTGCCGGAGAATTGAGGCTTATCTCCACTCTGACGGTCCTACCGATGAGTGGCCTTAGGGCACAAGCTAACCCGACCGGGACAAGCGGGGGAGACCGAGCGGAACAACGATTGATGTGAGCGAGGTCAGGAATGTGACCAACAATGAACGTGAGTTCTAAGTAAACGAACTTTGATAAACGGCACCCCCCCGTGGGAAAAGCGGAGCGCAAAGAGGGCCGCCTCTGAAGCGCAAGGACAGATAAACACAGCGAAGGGGGAGTGGGAGGAAACAGACAGCATGTGTATTTTGAGAGACTTACTTGAGTGCAAATAGCGAATTGATGAGTGCTTCGAGCCCAAGAGAAGCAGTTTGAAAGTGTAAACAAAGTTGAAAAATGGCGGTATCCCGAGGAAAGTTTAAAGCGAAGCGTAGTCAGAGTCCGAGGCCGGAAGAGGGAGCTGACGTCATGAAGCTGTTAGCGGATATGCTCAAGCCAGTGATGGATCAGCTCGATGGTATTAACCAGCAACTGGCCTCGTTAAATCAAAACTTCGCTTCACAACAGCAACAGCTGGCAGAAACGGGAAAAAAAGTGGAGCTGGTGGCTGAGAAAGTTACAGAGATGGACACCTCAAGCAAGAAGATGAAGAAAAGAATGGGTGAAGTGGAAACGAAACAAAATCTTCAAGAAATTCGTTTGTTGCAGCTGCAAATGGAAAAGGCTAATATGATTCTCAGGTACCAGGGGGTTCCTGAGACAGAAAAAGAAGATTTGAAAAAGACTCTGGGTGAGATTATTGCTCCAGTGACAGGCTTGCCAGCGGAGGAAATAATAAAAGACATGGAGACAGCTTATAGGGCTTACTCCAATTATATTAAAAAAATAGCCTGCCTGGAGAGATTGTGGTGAGATTTGCAAGAAGACAGACCAGAGATGCCAGATTAAAGGCAACCTCAGCAACTCCACTGAAATTTGGGAATACAATTATCAAGACTTTAAAAGACATTCCATTTGAAATTCGCCAGAAGAGAAAGAGCTACAAGGAGTTAATTACTTTTCTTCAAACAAACGGTCTACAGTACAGGTGGGTGATTTCTGAAGGTGTCATCTTTAAAATCAACGATAGGAGAAGATAGACTCCATCTTCAAAGCCAAGGAATTCTTGAGACGTCAGCTAGGATCGGGGGAAGAATCTAAAGAGGAAGAAACTAAGTCAAGTGACTCAGCTGCCTCGGGAACGGATGAGGACTCTGCTGCAGAAGCGGGTGCGGGAGCAATGAAAACTCTACATGATTTTAGAGACAGAAAGCCAAAGTAAGGGCAGAAGGACTCTGATAAATGGCTCTTTGAAATAAAGAAGATGCTCAGAAAGTTCTCTCATAATAACTAATTTACTAATACAGAACAATGTGAAAAACAAGAACTCTACAAGTGTATTGTTTTACTAACTCTTTTAATACTAATATTAAGTTTAACATAAAGGGGGTCTCCCACTCTTGGGATTTTAGTTAGTGTGGGTTTCTTTCCTTTATCCATAGTTGTAGTTCCCCTTCCTATATTTTTATTTGTAGTTTGTAGTCTTATTGAAAAAATAAAAATACCCCTCCGGGGGTTTCAAAAAAAGAAAAAAAGAAAGCCACATTGAAAATGACTAAATAGTTCCATAAACACACACACCATCATAAGCCACCAGAAGCATCAAGGGGAACCAGTAACCATGACTGCCAGTGTGTTTCAGTGGATAAGCAGGTCAGATTAATATCTGGGAGACCCAGATTCAAATCCCCACCTGTACCATGGAATATCACTGGGTGACCTTGGGCCAGTCACACTCTTTCAGCCTAGCCTACTTCACAGGGTGGTTATGAGGATAAAATGAAGACGAGGGGGTACAATGTAAGCCACATTGTGCTCCCCTGGGGGGGAAAAGGCAGGGTATAAATGAATGAATTAATTAAACAATAAATATTTGGGGCGAGCATCCCTAAGACATGAGGAGCGAGAGCCAGGCATTCTTCTGCGATCTTACCCTCCCGTTGAGCCCTCTGCAGGTTCTCGTAGATGTTCTCAGCCATTGTTTGCCCTGCGCTGTTCTTTCTGCTTCTCCCTCACCAGAGGCCTCCGAATGCTGCTGAAAATAGGAAATGGAAAGTGACACCTTCTTCATGCAATCGTACTGTGGTGGCGTTCTTTGTGAAACAGCCGGAGGCCAACAACTTGTGAGTTTTGTGGTTAAGAACATCCTGACCATGTGCGTTTTTGATTGGTATTTATTGCCTGCTTGCGGGTCTTCTGGAGAAACCTCTGAACAGCCCAGCTGTTCTGTGATGTAGACTGTGGCCACTGTGGCCACTGTGTGACACAGAGTGTTGGACTGGATGGGCCTTTGGCCTGATCCAACATTGGCGTCTCTTATGTTCTTATGTTCTTATGTTCTCAATTCTGGATGTCTATGGAGATTTCTCCTGGCCATATAAAGAATTGTAGGTCTAGAAAAATTGGACCTGACCTGGCCATAATACCCCAACTGAGTAAGGTATATAAAAATCTGAGAATACTATACAATGGAGAAGCTTGCCACAAAAATCCATCCTACTAACACATACAAATCACAATCTTTATTCTATGCAAAATGGCTATCATTTATTGGAGCATCATTTACAGATTCGATAGTACCTTCCCACACAATCCCCCAACGATATAAAGAGATAACAGCGATCTTTTGAGCTTACCTATCAACTCAAATTATAACTGCATAAGTGCAAAAAATATTAGGGTCAGAAAATAACAATGGTATTAATAATTTGTGTGGTTAATGGTTTGAATGGTTTATTTTGATTTGATTCAATGCTTACTTCTCTTTAACTATATTGTAACAGTTTTACTCATGAAAAGAATATCACTGTTTGTATGTTTTAATGTTAAAAGTTATAAATAAAACGTTTTTTAAAAAAGAAAAAAAATGCAATCTGGTCGGGGCTGCCTTGAGTCCGAAAGGCAGCCACTTGGCATTTAAGACAGCAACCTGGTTTCAAGAGGACACATTGGCCCACTGCTCGGAGCAGTGGTGTGAAAAAAATCAACCAAAATCACCGCCAAGATGGTAGCATGACCTTCCCAAAGTGATGTCACACTGTGGCCAACTGTACCCCCTATATCTTTTCTTCTTTGGCCCATTCTGCACCTAGCATTCTCTCCGTTGTTTTACGAAACCCAGGCCCCAGGTCACACTAGCGGGAAAAGCCGCGGCAGAAGTGTGGCTTTTTAAAGGCGCAGTGAATTGAAGCGCGGCGGGATCAGACAGATCCGAGCTGCATTTGCTCCCCGTCACAATCACATGCCGAAGGGAAAGCGATGGGACAAAGGGCGAGGCGAGGCAGCTGCGCAGTTGTGCGCATGCGCAGTGTGGCAATGCCTCATATACCATGGGATACGGGTGCATCAGCGATCACACGCCTGCCTGTGCAGTAGGTAGTAGTGTTTTGCTGGTATCTTTTCAATCCGCATTTTCGGCCAAAAGGGACAGGTTGGGGGGGGGATGCTTGCCAGACGTTGGCATCTGATCGCACTGGTTTAATCTGCCCTCAACCTGTCCGTTTCGCGGGGGCCCCACATTGGAACAGATACAGCTCAAAGCCACATTCGAATACCCTGGGCCAAGGCTGTACTCACTGCAGAGTCACCCCTGAATGGCCATAAAACAGCCATTAATCTATGCAGTCCGTACCATAAAACCAAGAGATCAAAGGAAGTGAAACCGGAATGTGGCGTGGAGGCTACAATAAAATCTGATCATCAAAGACCATGAAAGTGACATGCAATGTAGAGGGGAATTTCTTTTCCAACATGGGTTTGGTAAAACAGTGGAGCGAATGCTAGATGCAGAATGAGCCTCTAACACTTCTTTACACAACGACTGATTGAAATGTGGAATTTGCTGCTAGAGGATGTGGTAATGGCTGCAGGGACAGACAGCTTTAAAAGGGTATTAGACAGACTCGTGGAAGAGAGGTCTACCAGTGGCTACTGGCCATGTGGACTAAAGGGAATCTCCACCTTCAGAGGCAGGAAACCTATGAATCCCAGAGCCAGGAGGCAACATCAGTGGAAGGCCTCAGCCTCTCTGCACTGTTGCTGGCCCTCCAGAGGAACTGGTTGGCCCCTGTGTGAGACGGGAGGCTGGACTAGAGGGACCCTCACTGGTCTGATCCAGCAGGGCTCTTCTGAGGTTCTTATCAGGGGAAGGCCTCGGCTTCCCTGCCCTGTTGTTGGCCCTCCAGAGGAACTCGTTGCTGCCACTGTGTGAGACAGGAGGCTGGACTAGATGGACCCTCTCTGGTCTGATCCAGCAGGGCTCTTCTGATGCTGTAAACAGGGGAAGGCCTCAGTCTCTCTGCCCTGTTGTTGGCCCTCCAGAGGAACTGGTTGGCTACTGTGTGAGACAGGAGGCTGGACTAGAGGGACCCTCCCTCGTCTGACCCAGCGGGGATCTTCTAATGTTGGGCAGGGTTTTATCTTGGGCAACATTCAGTTTTGCTTCTTGTGTTTTTCTCTTCTCATTCTGCACCTGGCTTTGATTTACTAACAGCCTTAATCGGTTCACTTAACTTTAGACCAAGGCCATAGCAGGTGTCTAAAATGTTCACATCTTCCTTCAGAAATGAATTCTTCCATGGAATCATGTCTGTAGTTGGCAATTACTTTCTGTCATGGGGTGGGTGGTTATGCAGAGAGAGAGAGAGAGAGAGAGAGAGAGAGAGAGAGAGAGAGACTGGCCAAGGGTACTCAGCAAGCTTTGTGGCTGAGTGTGGGTTGATGTTGTCCCTGTTGAATATCATAAGTATTCATCATGTGCGATCATGCCGATCTAAGTGACAGATTGTCTGACAGTCTGACAGTCCAGGGATCCAGAGCAAACCGGTTCTGGCTGGCATAGAGCTGTATCACTGTGACTCAGCAGTAAGCTGATTGGCTGGTCTATGTATATAGGTGTGTATAGTCTGTACACTGAATCTTCTTCTGTATGGTTGTATGGCGGAGCACTTTGGAGATTGGATTTATACCCCACCCTTCACTACCCAAAGGTGTCTCAGAGCGGCTTACAAACTCCTTTCCCTTCCCCTCCCCACAACAGACACCCTGTGAGGTAAAAGAAGAAGAAATTGGATTTCTACCCCGCCCTTCACTACCCAAAGGTGTCTCAGAGTGGCTTACAAACTCCTTTCCCTTCCCCTCCCCACAACAGACAGACACCCGGTGAGGCAGGTGGGGCTGAGAGAGCTCTTGAGAGAAATGGCTCTTTTTCAAGGACAGCTCTTGTCAGAACTACGGCTTGCCCAAGGTCATCCAGCAGGTGTGAGTGGAGGAGTGGGGAATCAAACCTGATTCTCCCAAATTAGAGCCCGCGCACTTAACCACTACACCAAATGTGGTGGGGAACTGCCATCAAGTCACAGCTGATCTATGGGTTTTCAAGGCAAGAGGCATTCAGGGGTGATTTGCCATTGCCTGCCTCCACCTCTGCTTGCACAGAGAACAGTGTTTTATTTTTCGGGGGATCTAAAAACCTCCAGTGTATTTAATTTTCAGATTTTTACGCAAACCTGGGGAGTGCCCCAAGTTTGCTGAGAAATCTTTTTTAGCCTCTACATGGCCTAATCTACAGATTTACCTATCTGCAGATAGGGGCCATAGGTAGCTAATAGTATATAGATTTGTGTTTGAGTCATGTAGAAGCAAGGTATGTGTGGCGCCTCCTGCTGGTTGACACCGACTTACCCCCAGTCACCGTCCTGAGACTCTACCGCTAGGGTCTGCGTATTCCTTTGCAGCTTGGTGCGGCAGTCTTCTTCCTCCCAAGGCGAGGTACAGGGCCAAAGGGGGCAGGAGGGAAGGAGGAGAAATCGCCTCAGATGTACGGGACTTGTATGAAGGAAGAGGGTTACGTCACCCTTTTCCGGCCCGCCTGGGTTCTGGCGTCCCATAGGATCAGTGATCGGGAGCCTCTCTCTCCTCCCGAGCCTCCCTTCGCCAGTCCAGTCTCCTCCCCGGCTCTCTCCATCTTCCGCTCTTTATCCCTATTTGGCCCTTCCTCCTCCCCCCCATCCCAAGCACGCCCCCAGCTAAAGCTCCAGACGCCATGCTCAAGCGGATCTGCTCCAGGTGTCTCGCCTCTGCCTGATTCTGCACTTCGGCCAGTCTCTGTGGCTCTCCCCAGTACTGATGCCACATCCTGCCTCGCTGCCGCTCCCGGGCTCGTTGTCTCCCATTCTCTCCCTCTCGCTATTGTGTTTCACCGTCCAGCTGGCCAGCAGGACCCGGTAGGTTGTTGTCCTGGGGACCCGTCTCTGTTCCTCCTCTGCTCCCACCGGCAGGCGTCTCTCCTTCCCGGGTGAGTCGGGGGGCATCATTTGCGTTCCTGCTCCTCTGGGGATGGTGGCCAGTGCTTGTTCAGGGAGGGCTGGAGTCGGTTTTGGGAGGTCCCGGGTGCGACTGGGACAGTATGTACACATCATAAATGTGTAGGGATGGTGTCAGAAAGGCTAATGCACAGATGGAGCTGAGGCTTGTGAGGGATGCTAAAGATAACAAGAAAGGTTTCTATGCCTATGTTCGGAGCAAAAAGAAGAACAGGGATGGGGTAAACTCATTGCTAGGGGAAGACGGACAAGGGATGAAGACAAAGCGGAATTACTCAACTCTCACTTTGCGTCGGTCTTTAACTGTAAGGCGAGCTGTTGTTAGCCGAATTGCTCTTTAGGAGAGACAATTGGAACAGTTTAATTATCGGGTTACTGGTCTGTGTATACGAAGGATGGGCTGTACCAATGCGTTTCAATGAGAGACAGAGACGAGAGTCAAATACAACTCTGTTTTACTGGTAGTTATTCAAACACACAAGGGTAATAATAAAAAACCACACATAAACACGAGAACTAGTAAAAGCAGTTGAAAAAAAAGAGTTACATCACAATTGCATGAGCAGGAGATCCGTTGGTATCCTCGATGAGAGTATATTTACCTTCGATGTGGCTCAGCTTCAAAACTTCCAGCAGGGACAAGGACGGGAGGGTAGAAATAGGTAGAAGCACGTGAAACCAGACCAGCTAGAGACACGTGAATTGACCTTAGCTGCAGTCTAAGGCAAAGTGGGTTTTTAAGGGTTCGGATAGTAA